TCTGCCCCCCAAAGGTTGGTTGAAATACGTGCCCTGTTTCGGCCCCCACCCCCCTCGCCCGCCTCCCCCTCGTCCAACTCCCCGCCCCCCTCGCGTTCGTGCTCGTGCCCTTACTGCTCCGCCTCCACCTGCCCTCATTCTTTCATGTCTTACATTTATATATATATATATATCGTTTTTCTCCCTCGTCACCCCCTTGTTCGGTCTTCCACAAAATACGTGCGCGTTCCCAATTTTCCGTCCTTTTCAAGTTCCGATTCATCGTTCCAACCATCGCGCCAATCACCTCGCCCCATTTCAACGAAGTTTGCTGCCCCCAAAAGGTTCGTTGAAATGCATGCCATTTCCTCGTCCACCCTCCTCCTCGTCCACCTCCTCGTCCAATTCGTTATCCTTCTGGCGTTCCGGCTCGTACCTTTATTGCCCTTTTCCACCCGCCATTGTTCTTTCATGCCCTAGTTTCCTCATTCTTATCCCTCGGCGCCCTCACTTTCGTTCTCTCGCAACATATGTTTGCGTTTCCTCGTGTCCGTCCTATTCCAGTTCCGGTTCAACTTCCCGACCATCGCGCAAAAACCTCGCGGCATTTCAGCCGATCTTTTGCCCCCGAAGGGTTGGTTGAAATACGTGCCTTTTGCGGGCCCGTCCTCCTCGTCCACCTCCTCCTTGTCCAATTCCCCATTCTTCTCGCGCGCCTACTCGTGCCCTTGCTGCTCCTCTTCCACCCGCCCGCATTCCTTCATGTCTTGTTTTCCCTGGTGCGTTTCCTTTTTGTCTCTCGTCACCCCCCCCTTTCTGCCTTGCACGACATGCGTTTCTGCGTTCCCTGTTATCCGCCCTATTCGAGTTCCGGCTCAAGTTTCCAACCATCGCCCCAAAAAGCCTCGCCGCATCTCAACGAGCCTTATTGCCCCCAAAAGGTTGGTCGACATATGTGGCCGTTTTCTGCCCCCGCCCCCTCGCCCACTTCCTGCTCCAACTCCCCATCTTTCTTGCGCTCCCCACTCCTCTATCCCACCCTCGCTCGGCCTCTAGGGCCCCCATATCCGCCTCGCATTTCCGCTTCTGTTTTCGCGTCGGCGCCAAGACAGCCCCAGGGGGCCCATGAGTGATGGAGGTTCACGGGCGGATGATCGAGGGCCAAGGCAGGGGAGGGGGGGATAAGAGGAGCAGGAGGGGGGGGGCAGCACGAGCAGGAAAAAGGGACAGACTGGGGAGGAGGTGAAAGAGAGATCACACGAATGCTCGGCGGCCAAGCTTTTTGGCTCGAGCACCTCCGCGCCGCCCCAGAGCGCCGGCGCGCTGCTTCAAGTGGGGCCCCCTGCCAGGCAGTGCCAGCGCCATGTTGCCCTGGGCAACCCGAGGGCTGGCAATTCTCCATCGCGGAGACCCACCGGAACAAGAGGCGGGAATTGGAGAGGCCTCACTCTTCGCACGAGACTCACCTGGGCCAGTCTGCCACCCTGTGTCAGCAAGCGGACGTGATTCAGGCGTTGGGCACGGGCAAGTGGCAGTGCGTGCTTTGCGAGGAACACTTTGTCACGCTGGGCAAGGCGGTGAACCGCGCCTGCCGACGTGCTGGCGCCGCTGCCTCCGCCGCAGCAGCACCGCGCGGCAAGCGAGCGCGAGCCGCGCCCTCGCGCGGCCGAAGGCCTGACCCGTCCCGGGCATCCGACTCACGTCATATCCCCCCGATGCCAGATCTGTCGGCGTTGCGCGCTTCTCAGACCAAGCTGTTCGGGGAGGCGAGCGCCGGATCAGCTGCCCTGCGGCTCGCGCGCGCCACGTCGCTCGCGAACGCTGCGCTGGTCGAGCCCCCTGTGTCCGCGGAGCCGCGCGTGGGGGATTTCTTCGAGTGGCCAGGCGAGGAGAACGTGCGCGCTTGTATCATGTCTTTCGTGAAATTCGGCACGGCGCGCGTGCTCCCCCTCTTCAGGCGGCCTTCGAATCTGAAGCAGGCGCGTTCATTTCGCCCTGGTAGGGGCGGTTGCTGGAGGTGCCGGAAGCCGTTGCAGCGCCAGCTCCTCAAATTGCCTCAGCCCTTCCGCCGAAGCGCGGCCCTAGTTGCGCGGGCCGCGGCGCCCGAGAGAAACGACGGCTTCGAGATGATGCGCCAGCGCTGAATCCAGCTCGCGCCCGGCAACAATGGGGCCGAGGAGTCGAGCGGCAGAGGCCGCGACCAGGTCTCTGCTGAACGCGTAGCGGCCGCAGAGCTTTCGCGCGCCGCGGACGGCAGCGGCGCCGCGGAGGGCGACCCTGGACCGGGCGCCGGCAGTTCTGCCCCCGGCGCCTCGCACGATCGGAGTCTTTGGACTTAATTCGGCTGTCGCGCAGCTGTGCGCTGACGCAGTGCGCTTGCCCATTGACTTCGCCGCTGCCCCCGCCGCGCGCCCGGGGCCGCCGGGCGAGGAACCGCGCCGGATTTTTCGGCGCGGGGCGCGCGTCGCGCGGATGCGCGCGCGCGCGGCTGGCTGCCGCCGATTGCTCACCCGCAAGCATTGGCGCCGGATTCGCCGTCGAATCTTTCAGCCGCCGACCGGCTCCGATTCAAGAGCTTGCGCCGTCGTTGGCGACGTCGTGGGGGATTATCTGATTGCCGGTGGTTTCTGGCCCGAGTCGCTGGGCGCGTTCCAAGATGCAGAGAGTTACAGGCGCGGCGAGAAGCTGGCGCGCAGGCGGGTCGCGACCCTTTCCACGAACGCCGTGGCCGAGCACCCCCCCCGCGCGGGCCTCGGCGAACTCGAAGCGGCGCCCCTCCACGCGGCCCTTCGCAGTTTCGCGCGCGCGACGCCGGGCTACCATTCGCGACTTGGGTCCAGATGCGCCTGGGGCCGATGGCGCCGCGGCTCGCCTTCGCAGTCTGCGCCTCTCACGGGGCAATCGGGGACTTGGACTTCTCCGCGAGCGATGCCCGGCAGCTCCGCCCCATCGGGCCTGGGGGCCGCGACGAGAAGGAGCGCCGCGCCGTCGGCGGATTGACCGGCCTGCCCGACGCGCCCGCCCTCCCTGACCTCTGCGCCGCCGCCGAGGACAGGTCGAACATTGAGACTGCGGCGTTCGCGCGGGCGCGCTTCTGCAGACCCGGGGCCCCCGGCCTGTCGGCGCCAACGTTGGCGACGTTGCTGGGGACTTCAGGGCGATAGTCGGCGGCCTGGGCGCCGCCTTCTCCGGGGCTGCGCGGCGCGACGAGGCGGCCTTCAAGCGTTCGCAACGGCGCGTGGAGAGCGGCGGCGTCATCGTGGACACGGGCGCCCGCAGCGCCTTGGGGTTCGAGCTCGGGCGGGGCGCGCTGCGCGTGCACAAACGCTTTCTCGAGGCGCTTAACGCGACCTCGGTCGATGCTGCGCGGGCGACCCGCTGCTCGCGCAAATGGTTGGGCTCTCTCAGCCCCGAGGTCCGCCTTGGCCGCTCGAGCGCGGGGCCGATCTTCGGCGGCGCAGACGACCGGCTCGCGGCGCGAGCGGGGGTTCAGGGCGCCGCGCTTCTGGACGTGCCCCAGGTCTTGCAGCTGCGCTTCCAGGGCGCCGCTTCTCTGGCCGCGTCGTTCGAGGCTCTCAGGGGCAGCGTGGCAGACGAGAGGTGTTACCCAGTCCACGGGGAAGCGCTGTCCTTGCCGGCGAAAGCGGCGATCTTGGAGGACGCGGCGCTCGTCGTGGATGAGGGCGCGCCAGACAGCCGCTTCGGCCGCTTTCAAGCTCGTCTAGTTACGCCCCGCTCGGGCATCCGAGCGCGGTGGCCATCGCCTGGGACCTCTGCGGCCTGGGCGACTTGTTCGCGCTTCCCAACGTCGCCGAGGCCCGCGGCGAGGCGCCCCCGGAGCGGTGCCGGGCCCAGTTCCGCTGCCTGCGGCGCGCGCGCATTAGGCCCGGCGGTCCTACGCGGCGCACGCGCAAGCCGCGAGACGCGCCGGCTGGCGCGCCCGCGCCCAGGCAGCCAGCGGACGATGACCAGGCGTGCTTGGATGAGGAGAGCGCGCCCGGCAAGGGGGAGGGCGACGACTCCTCCGCGGCCGGCGACGCCGCGGGCGACGGCGAAATCTCCAAGGGGAGCGACGACGAGCATAGTGGCAGCGACGCCAGCGACGTCGCCGCCGAGGCCGAGGCAGACAGCGACGACGAGGAAGACGACGCAGCAGGCCCCGCCGAACCCGCCCCTGGCGTCGACGCCCTGGCAGGGGAGTCGCGTGAGAGGTGCGCTGCCGGCAGCAGTTGCGACCGCGTCCTCGTGAACCAGCTCCACCCGGCGGTCTTGCATGGGCTGTGCGCTGGATGCCGCCGCAATCTCTGGGCCGCGGAGGCGGGGCGGGAGGTCTCGCTCGGCGCCGTCGCAGCGTCGCGCTGGGAACAAATGCCGGTCGCGAGCGGGCGTGGCCGCGGTGCCCTGGCCCCCCATGTGCGCCCCCCTGGGGCGCCTTGAAAAGTACGCTGCGCGTTGAGAAAGAGTATACTTACAACGTAATGTATGTTAAGAGAAACCAGCTTACAATGATGCCTCTCATGTAAGCAAACACTTAACATGAAAAAAGGTCACCTTGTATGTTGCGAGTGGCTTCATCTCGCTAGTGCCCGCACATGTGCACAAGACGGAGCGAGCCCAGCTGGGCGGGGAACTCTATTAACCCCTACGCTGGTATGGTTTAGGGCCGCGCTCATTCTTGCCGCGCGCATTGCGACGTCGATGACAGGGCGTCGTCTCAACCATAGAAAAAAACACAAGCCCCAATTAGCGCCCGCGCCCTCCAAGTCCGCGCTTCCACCCCTCGCCCCAAATTGGTGGAAACCACGGGGGCGCGCGGGTGGGGGGGGGGCAGAAGCGGCGCTCTTGCCGGCCTCTCTGGCGGCGGATTTGCTTGCGAATTGCCGCCGCCGTCGTTCCTCAGCCGTTTGGCCCTTCTCACGTAGCTGTCTCTGTGCTTTCATGTCTGCGCATTATGACGACCACTTTCGTCCGTTTGTTTTTTTCCCGAGAAGATCGGGCCCATTGCAAGATGGTGGCTTGCTCTGCTGGTCAGCTCGATCGCAGCTGCAGGGAGTGGTGGCGCGGTCGAGCTCGGGACTCCCTCGCCACCCTCATCTTCCGGAGCGCTGTGGTCGGCCGCCCTGGCGCTCACCGCGCCGCGGTTCCCTGGGGGGGCTTTCTTTTCAGAAATACATGAAAGGGCTCCTTGACCCCCCCTCCCCCCGCCAGAAATCTCGCCCCCCCACCGGAAATGCGCAAATGGAAGAGCCGGGAATCTTGCCCCCCCCGCCTTTCCCCGGGGAAACGGGGTCTCGCGTGATTTCCCAAGAGCGTGATGGTGCATATTCGCTTGGAATCGCCCCGCCTCCGATGATGACGCAGGCAGCACGGTTTCGTCGAGTGGCGTCGATGGGAGGGGGGGGGGGCGAGGGGGGAGAGGGGGGGGGGCTGTTGCGCCTTCCGGCAGGAGTCTGCCATCAGGTCCGACGAGGGAGTACGCAGTAGAATAATCATTACCACCAGCACCGCTATGGAAGCCATGTGGAAACATGATGACAAGGTTGAGGGGGGTGAGGTCCCGGGAGTCTGCAATGAGGTTCCGTCTAACCTTCTGTTTGTAGCTCCTCTGATGTCAACTCTGCAATCGGCGTTCCAGCCGCCAGCTCCCGAAGAAGACGGGCGGCTTCCGTAGGCCGGACAGGTGGAGCATGGGACAGCACAGGAGAGATGGGTAGGTCGGAGTGGAGACGGAGCAGACTTTCAGTGGAGACCGATAGGCGAGTCACAAGCCTGCGTTGCCGCTGAGGCTTGCCCCTCGCCTTGGCGACTCCCTTTTTCTCCTCGTCCATCTTGAGCCAAGGTGCAGCGTTGCGGCGAAAGTCGGCCTGAAGCTGCTGACCTAGAGTGCAAAATGCATTGCGACCCATCCCTGGAGGCGGCGTTGCCGCTAAGCCCCGAGAGATCTTGAGACGCAGATCTGGCTTGCAAATGCTGCGACACAGCAGAGAAATGTTTCCAGGTGCAAGCTATCGTGTCCCAGCCGCGTGGCCGATGGAAGGCCTGCCGGGTTAGCGTCGCCGCATGTCCCCGGGGCGTGCACGCGGTTTGGTCGGGCCCAGCTCTGGAAAACCTGGCGGGGAACATGCCGCCGGGGATTTTGGCTTGGCGTGGCCTCTAGACAACCGCCGGGGAATTTTGCCTGACGTGGCCTCTACACAACCATGTAGAAAGCGACTGTACTGTGCCTCACGCACCGCACGTCACAATTCTTTACGCTTCGCGTATCCCCACCAGCCCATCTCACAGCAGCAACTCTGGCGAAGCATGCCGACAGTCGTGTTTTTCAGGCGTATGTCCGCTTGGCCCCGCATATCTCCCCTGTTCCTCCTCCCCCCCGCCTCCTTGTACATCCTCCTTGTGGGGGGGGCGGGAGAAGAACGAGGCGGAGGAGAAGGGAGAGAAAGCGCTCTTCGTGATTTGAGTCGTTTGGGGTTTCTCGTCCTGGTGTCAGTCGTTCGGGCCCTTCTTCCTGGTGTGAGTCGTTCGGGCTCTTCGTGGTGTGAGTCGTTCGGGCTCTTCGTCCTGGTGTGAGTCGTTCGGGCTTCTCGTGGTGTGAGTTGTTCGGGCCCCTCATCCTGGTGTGAGTCGTTCGGGCCCCTCCTCCTGGTGTGACTCGTTCGGGCTCCTCGTGGTGTGAGTCGTTCGGGGCCCGCGTCGTGGTGTGAGTCGTTCGGGCTCCTCGTGGTGTGAGTCGTTCGGGCGCCTCGTCCTGGTGTGAGTCGGTCGGGCCCCTCCTTGTGGTGTGAGTCGTTCGGGCTCTTCGTGGTGTGAGTCGTTCGGGCCCCTCGGCCTGGTGTGAGTCGTTCGGGCTCCTCGTGGGGCCTCTTGGGAGCCTCTTGGGGCCTCTTGGGGCCTCTGGGGGGCCTCTTGGGAGCCTCTGTGGGGCCTCTTGAGGCCTCTTGGGGGCCTCTTGGGGGCCTCTTGGGGGCCTCTTGGGGGCCTCTTGGGACCGCTTGGGCGCCTCTGGGGGGCCTCTTGGAGGCCTCTTGGGAGCTTCCTGGGGGCCTTTAGGGGGCCATCTTGGCCCCTCTGGGGGCCTCCTCAGAAGCGCTAGTGAGAGCTGCCCCCTGAAAAGGACAACATGGGGCCAAAACCTTCGTAAAAAAACAATGATCTTGCTATGAAGGAAGATGAGCGCGGCCCCCCCCCAGGACGCCAACATGGGGCCCAAACCGTAGTAAAATCAATGATTTTGGCTTTAAAGAAAGAAGAGCAGAGGGGCCAAACTGGGTCCCCGCGTCGGGGCCAGAATCCTCGTGAGGGTCGTCGTTTTATAGCCCTCCCAGGAGTCGAAAAAGACCCCTCCAACGACCCGCGAAACCCCCCCTCCAGGTCCAGGGGGAGAGGGTAGGGGGAGGGGTAAACCCCTGCCCGAAGGGGAAAAAGGGGGGTTGAGGACAGAGAGAGCTCCCTAAACCACTCGCGCCCGAAGGGCTGGTGGGATTGCAAGAACACTGCGTGGCAATCTAAACGGTCGTCGGCGCATGCCCGGGATGTTGGCTCAAATTGCGCACCCGGGACTCAGCGCGCACATGCTGCTGCTGACGCTAATGCTACGCTCCTTGATTCACGTGGCAAGAGGGCTCCCCTACACACGCTCCTCCTTCGGAGTCCTGTGCAGTGGGGCGCGCATAGGGATCTGACAATCCCGATCGCACCCCGCGGAAGAGACATGCATCAGCTCGATCGGGGTGTAGGGGGCCCTCAGGTGCTCTGGTGCTGCGCGCACTCAGTGGCCCCACAGGCCAAAGTGGGCCCTCACCTTCGCCACGTGCTCGGGCCCCTTGCTCTTAGTGAACCCGTCAGCGCGCATCAAAGCTGTCTCCGCGTAGATCAGCTCCAGCATGCCGCGCTCGACTCGGCTCCGGATGGCGTTGTCCTTAGTCATTAGACTCCTCGTCCTCCAACTGCCGCGACCCTCGGCGATGTGCTTCGCCGCCTGGTTGTCGCCGTGGAGGACCGCGGTCGTCTCCAGCTCCATGGCGTGGGCGACCGCCTCCAGGCCGTAGAGCACCTGGCAGCTGAGGGCGAGGCCGTTCATCTCCGCCTCGGCCGTCGAGAAGCAGACCAGCTGCTGCCTCAAGCTGCGCCAGTCTACCAGCATGCGCTCGTACATGAAACATGCGACGCCTGTCTGCGCACCCGCGTCGCCGTGGCTGGCATCCGAGAACGCGTCCAGCTGGCAGATGAGGTCCTGCAGCTCGCGGGGGGTGCTCAGCACGTAAACTAGCGCCAACTGGCGTTTAGCCGCCAAGTAGCGCAAGACCTTCTTGCCCATAACGAGGGGCGTACGCGGCCTCCGAGTCGCATGGCTGGAGATCCGCGAGCCGCTGTGGGACAGGTCTGGCCGAGTGCGGCTCGAAAGCCAAAGGGGCCCACCTGCCATCCGTTGCGCGCCGCGCACATCATCAGGGTCAGGCTTCTCCTCGTCGTCCTCGGGCGCGAAGGGCATGTAGATCTCGTCGTCGGGGTTGATCGACTGGCAGCCGTTGCATTGCGCCATGTCCCACTTCATCAACATGTCGTTGACGTACTCGTGCTGGCTCAGCGTCAGTCGATGGGTGTCGATGCCGATGTCGATGGACAAGTACCGGATGGTTCCCGGACGGTCCGGGGAGATGATCTTCTGGGAGCTCGTAGTCCAGAGCGCGCCGATGGAGGTCTGCAGGGCCCTCACCACGTCCTCGGGGCCCATGAACAAGAAGTCGTCCACGTAGCTCAGCGCATAGCCCAGGACGTCGTCCACCCCGTCGGCTTTGACGAGCCAGACCGAGCTATCGACCGCAGACTGCTCGAGGTGGCACTGGAGCGCGCCGACGGGGAACGTCAGCTTGCGGAGCGCCGCGTCGCGCAGATCGCCCCAAGCCTTCGGTGAGCACCTAAGGCCGTAGACGGCCCTCTCGGCCACCCAGAGCTCGCCCGCCGGCACCGGCCCGAACTTGGCGAAGATGGCCGGTGGGCGAATGACCACTCGCTTCTTGTCCACGGGGAGGAACGCGTTCAGAAACGCGGTAGAGACGTCGAGGGCCGACGCGCTCCAACGACGGTGCGCGCGCACGGCGAGCGCCATGCGGAGGCTGGCAATGTCCAAGTTCTGCGTGAAGGTCTGCTCCGCGGGGCCCACCTCCTCGAAGTTGCCGCGCACGCAGCCGCGCGCCTTGAAGCGCCGATAGCCCGAAGCGTCTGGAGCCTTCTGCCCCGCGACTACCTTCATGGGCAATATCTCGGAGGGCTTCACAGAGTGCGCCTTCGTGGCCGTGAGGGGACGAAGGCAACCGTCCTTCAGGCTGTTGAGCTCGCTCTCGAGTGCCGCTCGCCACTTCTCCCTGGTCATCCCGATCGTCCTCGCGATCTCTGCGCGCGTGGCGATGCTCAGCCCGCTGTCCTTCACAGTCTTGGTGAACTCGGGAGGCGCGTTGTCGTCGTCCGCGGTGAGGGTGGCCTGCTCCGGGGCCGCGGTGGCGAAAGCCACGGGCATGGGGTCTAAGTGGTCGCGCATGGGCGGCGGAAGCCGAGGATCGGAACCGTCGCGAAGACCAAAACCTGCAAGCGCAGCGCGTTGCGCATTGGCTCCTCCTGACCCCAGCCTGCACCTGCGGCCCCTGGTGTGCTTGACGCGTCGTCCGCGGCAGGCCGGGTAGGAGAATCCGCCACCAGGAGCTCCGCGATCGAAGGGTTGCTCGCCATCGTCGCTCAGGAGGGGCCCGCGCGCGCAGCGCGCATCTCGGGCGTGCGTGCGGTGGAGCCCGCGGCACGCAGGACAAGCGGTGTCCTTCGGCACCACCTCCTCGAACACATCTCGGTCACCGTCTGCGCGGGCAGGTCGTCGAAGATGGTCGTCCAATGATCCTCCGAGGCCGTGGTCAACATGAAGTGCACCTTCCGGAGATCCAGCGCCGGTCGATTCAACAGGTGGCGCCTGTGCAACGCCACCTGGTTGAGCTCCTCCTGCTCCTGGGTCCTCACCGCGAACGTCTTGAGCACAGCTGGGGTCTTCAGGCACCACTGCGAAGGACGACGAGGACTCGATGACCCACCGCTGCTCAGGTCGCTTCGCGGTGAGGTCCTTCCGCCCGATCAACCATTTGCTCTCCGCGTCCACGCCCAGGAACGCGGCGTCGCGCGCCCGCTCCGCCCACGTGGACGAAGGGGCATCCTTGATGCGAGCGCAGACCTTCGCACCGAAAGCGGGGCACTTCACTGGTCTATCCTGTGCGTGCATCCTGGAGCAGTGCGCAGAATGCTGCATGGCGCGCGCCCACAGGGCCTGCCTGTCCAGGGGGTCGCTGAAGGAGAGGAGCATTGCCCTGGCCCTCAGCTTCGCCACGCCGATCCCGCGCTCCGCTCGGCCATTCGATAAGAACTCGAACCCCGGCGTCGAAGCGAAGTAACAGCGATCGGAGGGCTCTTCGCCCCGAAGTGCCGCTTGATCTGGCCCCCTGTGAGGTTCCCAGCCCGGCCGCCGTGGATGCGGTAGCAGATGTTAGCCCCCTCAACTTCCATCCGGAGCTGGGCGAGGATAGATTCGATGGCGTGAATGCAACTGGCGGCCTTAAGGTTCTCCAGCGGCACACAGAAGTACCATGTCTTGGAGATCATGCCGCTCTCGTCCTCGACCTCTGCGTCGGCCGCGATGCTGGGGTCGCCGCCTGGAGAGAGCTCCTCCTCCTGTTCCTGGGGGGGGGTGGCTCGAGCTTCGGCCTGCCGGGCCGCGCCGAGGGGCCGGAGTTGGGCACGCAGGCGCTCAGCCCGACATGGTTCGTCCGCAGCTCCAGGTCCCCGAAGGAATTCACGCCGAAAAGGGCCACCACCTTCTTCGCCAACTCGGTACCCTGCTCGACGGAGTCGTCCACGACCGCAGCGTCGAGCCGAGGGGCAACGCCGATGTCGGACTCCCCGGGCACGGCGGCCTCGGGCTTGGGAGGCGGAGGGCCTGCAAACTCGTTCTCCTGCGCGATCGACTCCAAGCGCTCGCGGTCCTTCTTAGCAGCCGGAGTCTCGACGACGTAGGCCCCCAGGAGGAAGTGAACGGCTTGCTTGGCCGAGTTCTCGGGGCGGCTGGAGGGCCACCGTCCTGGGGGGTGCGGCCCAGACGTGTCGATGTTGAGCTGGCCCTCAGGCCTCGTGGTGACGTCGAATCGATGATGGGCGCGAAGGCGGCCGTGGGCTCCACGACAGCCTGGGCAGTCAGGTCGAACGCTGGTGTGCCCGCCCTCCATGTGCTCCTGAAGCAGCTCGCGACGACGGAGTCCAGCAGCCAGAGTGCTCATGCGCTCGTCTATGACGGCGCGCTTCGCCTGGCGCCTGCGATCGCGCAGGAACTCTGCATCGCCCTCCTCAATGTAGATCGCGCCCTTCTCGCGGAGCAGGGCGATGACCTCGCCCGTGGGATAGCTCGGGGCGCGCGCCGAGGAACTCCATGAAAGGTCGTGGCTCATCTCGTCGATGTAGCTGCCCAGCGGGAAGAGCCACTGGAGGTCCTCACCCAACGCATACACGACATCTCCCACCATCATGGCCTCTTCCACCCCCGTCGCCGTCTCCAGCGGGACCGGGGCGGCGCATTCAGGCAGGTCGCTGAAGGACTTGATGCCGCGAAGCTCGTGGGTGGCGCCAGTGTCCGCGAGGATCCAGCGCTTGCCGTCCATGGCCAGAAGCCTCCTCGCCTGCGGGGCGTCGGAGACCTTGACCACCCCCACGATCGGCGGCTGCCCGCGCGAAGGCGGGGCCGAAGCAGCCGGTGCCGACGCGGGCGCTGCTGTCGAAGCAGCCGCAGCTGTCGGCGCAGACGCACGATGACCGCGATCAGGAGGAGCAGCGGATGCGGCCGAAGACCGACTCCAGGGGGGCGGGGGTGGAGGGACATCGAGGACATCGTTGAACTCGTGATCGTCGTCGTAGAAATCGGCGAGGCCTCGGGGACGATGAGATCGAGCAACGCGCCCGGCAGGAACTGCCGAGGAGGATCCAAGCTCCATGAGGGACCTCAGCTCCTGACGCACGATGCCGCTGACGTCGCTGGAAGTCAAGGGACTCGGAGTTGCAACCGCTGCCGACTTGCCAGTGGCTGCCGGCCTGCCCGCCTCGTCCGCGCCAGCGGCCGAAGTCGATGGAGATCTTGCCGAGGCTGCTCTTTGGTCCTCCGCCTGGCCCTTCTTGGCCTTCGCCGGAGGCTTGGGTTTCCGCGGCCGGCGGCACGCTGCTGCGTCATGGCCGCCCGCGCCGCAGTTGAAGCAGCGCCCGTCGGTCGGCTCCAATCGGGCGCCATCCGACTTGCAGTGGCGCATGGGACATGGCCAGCCTGCGCTGCAGCCCGTCGCGAGGTTGTTGATGTGCGGGCAGATGGCCACGCTCTTGCCTCCCGCGTCGTCCTTGCCCTTCCCGAGCTTGCTCATCGGGTCACCCTTGGCCGCCTTGCCGCCCTTCGGGTCGCCCTTGGTCGGCTTGCCCTTGCTGGCGGCTGCAGCGGCAGCGGCGGCCGCGGCGGCTGCTGCTCGAGCCGCCTTCGTCGAAGGATTAGGAGGGTCCTTCTCCTTGGCGTCGCCCGAGTACTTTCGAGCCTCGGCACTCAAGTACCTCCAAGAAGATCTACTTGAGCTTGGTTGACCGTCCCGGTCGTGATGTTATTCTGCACCAGGAACGCGAAGAAGCGGTGCTTGAACTCCTCGCCACTCCAGGAGCTTGCTCGCGGTCTGCTTTAGGGCCGCCATTTGGATGGGCAGGTCAGGCAGGCTGGTGTTGAGGATGACCAGGCGGTTCAGCGCGAACTTCCACTCTGCAAGCTCGTTGTGCACCCCCTTGACCTCCACTCGGGGGCAGAAAAGAGGGGGGTGATGACTAGGGGGGGGTGGATATCATGGCGGGGGCCATGATATCTCCCCAGATTTCATGGCGCCTCCTCTTATTTCATTACGTCCCTGGCCCCCCCCCTGGGCCGCGCACATGCCGCCGGTCATGATTTGCGCACCCCCCTCTTGGACACCCCCCTCTTGGCCGCTCCCGATCCACCACCTTGCCTTTTCTGCACTCGCTCTAGGACTGCGTGTTTGTCGCTCTCTGTCCCTGGCCCAGCGTCCACGCACGCGGTGAAGAGAATGTCGCGCGTGCTGACGAGCTTCGTCGACAAGCACATGGTCTTCGCGTTTTCCGGGGCGAGGTGGAGGAGGAGGGGGCACAAGCGGAGCTCGATCGCGTGGAAGGACAAGATCTCGAACGGCTCCGGCGCAATAGCGACCGGCCGCGCTGCGTGGCGCATCAGCGGGCCCTCCTGGAGGTACTGGGCATGAGCACGCTGCACCGAGTCAAGGCACAGAAGCCAGTAGCGCTTGATGTGCCAGTGCAGCCCTCCCAGATCCAGTCCAACCGACTCCACCCAGTGCTCCAGGTTCGACGGCTTGGCCGCCGCGCCCCCGCTCCACGCGAGCTGAGGGAGCTCCACCGCCTTGATCTTCGAGAGCGCGGTCTCCAGGCCAGCGTCGCGCTGCGGAGGGCCCTGGTGGATCGCAGCGGCTGCGCCTGCAGGGTCGGGCCGCGGCGTCGGCGGCGGAAGTGGAACTCCGGGTGCTCGTCCGCGACCTCCCTGAGGTAGAAATCCTCCAAGACCGAAGCCATGGCCTCCTCCTGGATCGTCGCCCCCACCGCCACCTCCACCTCCTGGGGCACCTGGAACGCCGCCATGATGATGACCACTACCTCCAACACCTCCCTGGGGCTGGTGAGGAAGTCCTCCGAAGCCGCCCTGATGACCACCATGTTGATGATGATGCTGAGGGGGTCCTTGAGGGAAGCCCGCAGCGAAGCCGCCGGCCTGCTGCTGTGGGGCAGCGTGGTGAAGGAGCCCAGCTGCATGCCCTTGCTGAAGGTGGTCGAACTGCGGCGAAGCAGCAGCGGGGTGAACATCAAGTCGACGAGGATCACCATGAAGAGCACCAAGATGACCCTGATGAAGGCCAGGGGATACTTCCTGAAGGTTCCTGGGGGGCTCTTGGGAGACCTCCTGCTGCATCGTCCAATCCTCGTGCTCGTGCTCGGCGGCTATCTGGGCAGCGTTCGGCGCGCAGTCCTCGTCGGGCTCGGGCGCGTCGGAGTCGTCCGCGTCGAGCCTGGCCGCAGCGCACGACGAGGGCGCTGGGTCGCTAGGTTTCGCCTGGCCGCTCTGGGATGCACCCTTCGCGGGCTTAGGCGCAGCAGGGTCCGGCGTCGCGAACCCGCTCCTGGCCTCAGCAGCCGACGCCACCGAGGCTGACGCACGCAGCCGGACGTTCTCCGCCCTGAGCTGCTCCATCTCGCGCTTCATGGAGCGCATGTCCGCCATGGGGCTCTTTAGCTCGCTCCCCGACTCCGCGGTCTCGCGGGGCACGGCGGCCCCGCTGCCCGCGTCCGAGATGTCGTACTCTTCCAGAGCACGAGGCCGCTGAAGTGGTGCAGCATTCGGGGCCACGCCCGAAGTCGAGGAAGCCGGTGCGTCGAGGGCGCGGAGGCCCTGACACGCGGACGCGGCTCCGGCGGCCATGCCAGTGACCAGCCGGGCGGCCCCGCCCACGGCGCCAGCGGCGACGGCGCCGAGGGCCTGGCCCGCGACGGTGCCCGTCGAGGCCATGAGGCGGCCGAACGCGGCGCCTCCTTGCGCAATCATGTGCTGCGCGCGGTGGTGGCTGTAGGCGTAGTCCAGGCTCTGCGCGCAGCCGTTGCGCGCCGCCTGGCCTAGCCTGCGGGTGACGCAATGGCGGTGGGCCGACCCGCCGCGTGCCGTGCAGGTCACTGACGGGCCTGCCAGAATATCGCCGCAGCATGAACACGTACGCCACATCCACGTAGAAGTAGATTGTGATGATGTAGACGGAGGGGCTCCCATGAATCCAGCACCCCTCGGCGATGGGCTCATAGCCCCTGTTGCGCCTTCCGGCAGGAGTCTGCTATCAGGTCCGACGAGGGAGTACGCGGTATAATAATCATTACCACCAGCACCGCTATGGACGCCAT